TCTTCAAAGGCACAATATATCACACCTAAGAGTCATATATAATATAATTAATAAATATTTTGTCTCTCTCTCTCTCTCTCTCAAAATATAAATAAAAATCTTTATATGCGTAAAAATATAATTACTTACAAATTATTATTAAAAAAATAAAAAGTTTTATCATAATAGATTAAAAAATTATATGACAAAAATAATCAATTACAATTCTTCCCTATTTGACTAAATGCTATACAGTAATTACGCAATAGATAACTAAGTACCCTAAAAACCCATAGATACGCCGCGGCTTATCTAATGAAAAAAGTGCATTTTATGAAAAAATAGAAAATCGGCTTATCTATGGGTTTGACTTATTTATGGGCATATTTATTCATAAAATATGTTTATTAAAAACAATTTTAATTTTAAATAATCATATTTATTAAAATTGTTTAATTACAAAATAATGTTATGCATTTAATCAAAACCATCAAATTCTTCATTAGATTCTGTAAAGTTTTCAAGCAAATGCTCCAAATTATCTGAATCTGAATTAGACAACTAACCAATAACTAATATGACTCAATACGTAAACCAGTATGTCCCAAAAATTACGTTTCAAAACTTACGTTAAGTTTTTAGGGTATATGTCATACATACCTGTCATGTAGACTGAAAAATGCGTTTTTGATGCGTTAGTCACTGAAAAACTTAACTTTATATATAAGTAATGTTTGATTAATTGCTTTGAACACAACTTAAATATTTGTAATAATGAATTATAAATAATTTTTTCTGTGCAAAAGCATCAAAAACGCATCATTTTTCAGTCTATAGACTATAGTCATACAATCAAATATAAACTTACTAAAGAAATGCACAACAAAAGAAACACTTACTGTATAAAAGTTAAAATTTAATAAAACGAATTTTTAATTACAAATTTTGTTAATCAGTGTATAACTATTAATATACTGTACAAATTAATTAGTAATTAGTATAAAATTTTATTAAAGTGCTGACTCCGAATACTTGGTAAGTAATCTACCCATCAACACGGTATACGATTTAAGTGTTGACTCCGGGTACGACTCTTTCATCTCGCACTTTGTGTCCACTTTTACGCCCAACAAGTGTTCAGTTCTGTTCAGTATTGCCGGATAGAGTTCAATACGTTTGTGTGAGAACTCCCGGAACCCATCGATGTCGTCGTGCATATCAATCACTTTAGCCCAGAAGTCACGGCCAACGCTGTCATTGTTTTATTATTATAAACATATGAAAATATTTATTATTAATATTTAATTTTAACATGTTATTTCACAATCAACGGTATTTTTTAAAAAATTAGTATTTTGCATGTAATCATAATGTGCAATGAATTTATTAAACGATAGATTGTTATACATCAAAATTCCTATGACATTCGTGTGTAATAATGCACCATGGGAAATTATTTTCTGCAAGCTCGTTAGATTATCACTATATGAACTTGTGCTATTATTGTTCTGTTCATGATTCCCATATTAAATGGTGACCAGGTTAGCGTTAGCATTAGGAGTAGGCATGGTACTTTATTAATATTCTTAATAACTTATAGATTACTAACACACTATGACTTTACTGTATACTAGGAATGTGCTCATTAACTAGACGCTTTCTAAGAGATCGTACAAAGCTCACTTAAGCAGATTCATAGTATATTCTGACAAGGATAATTAATTAATATTATTTACGTTAATTATAATATATTTAAATCATAAAAGGATAAAAAAGACATGTATAAAAATCTCATCAAATAAAGCTAACAAGTCTGAGTTCATATTAATATATAAATAAAATTTTTGCCTGTTAAATATACAATTTTATACATTTTAAAAATCCATACCATATTATTTCACCCATGTTAATTCTCGACTGTTTCAAAGCATCTTCTAGGTATCCAAGGTAACGGTCACGTAGTTTTTTAGTCTCGACCAGTTTAGCGTTTATAATGGGTGTGTATTTCAACATTTTATCATCGGGCAATGTACAAAATAAGTTAACTTTCTCGTAGAATCGAATGCTGGGACTCTCCATAACCACATCCCGGATCCTTGGTTTGAGGTACCCTGCCCATTTCAAGCCGGTGACTATATCCCAGAAACTGTAATATAAAATCAAATATCAAAATTTTTAAATTTCCATTTATTGACTAAATACATATACATGTATATTATAAGATATAACATATTTGAATATATTAAATAAAATAAAATTACTCTACTCACAGTCTACCCGTGCCGTTTGTATTTCCAATTTCATTGCACTTCTCTTTAATGATTTCCAACTTTTCCGGTGCTTCGACTCCATTGCCATATCTCTCATAGCGTTGAGCTATGCTATCAATAGCCGCTTCGTCCTCTTCAAAGGCACAATATATCACACCTAAGAGTCATATATAATATAATTAATAAATATTTTGTCTCTCTCTCTCTCTCTCTCTCTCTCTCTCTCTCTTTCTTATAAAGTTACAGATTGTATGTAAATCTAATACAAAAGTCAGACCTTAAACAATGTTAGTTAGGTTAAGTTAAGTTAAGTTAGACCTTAAACAATGTTAGTTAGGTTAAGTTAAGTTAAGTTAGACCTTAAACTATGTCATAGTGTATTTTACAATAACAAACGTTAAAATGCCTCAGAGACATCGCCATACATTTATGAACAAGTTGAATAATTATACATTACTGCTGTAATGCATTATAATAAAAAATATCAACTAGTATAAATATTTGAAAATATATTTACATACCAATTATAGACAAGTAAATAAAGAGCTTCATCACTAAAGCTTGAATTATTATAAATATATAGAAAAAAAACTAATGAAATTAAAAACTGGTATTAAACGTAAAAGCACAAACTTGACACTAATTATTATAATATTAGGTCATTTGACAATCATCAGGCCTAACTGCCTTCTAGTGTAGATAGAATTATGAAAATGGTATCATAATTTAAGTTAACATTTATAACCTCTAGAAACCAAGTTTCATAAAATTCGCACTAATAGTTATGGCACAGGAATACTTTATATGACACCTGCCAAAATAATGTATTCCTATGGGAGAGTAGCTATTTCGGCATTTATTGACG